AAATGATGTCTAGATGATTTACATGATCTAATACAAAGAAAATGCTTTGTGTAAATAGGTGTTACACTGTGTTATTTAGGAAATGAGGACAAAGGAAAGTTTCTACGTGTTCAGACACAATGATTCTTTTTTTGTTGTTGTTCCAAATATTTTCAATCTAATCTTGGTTGAATCCATGGATGCAGAACCCATGGACACAGAAGCCTGATGGCATTTCCCTGCTTCTATATACCCTTCATTACTGTATATATGCAAAGAGCAAGCTGTATTACTATCAGGGGAAAAAAGGAGGTTGGGGAACCTTGAAATATACTTCAAAAATGTTTATAAAAGTAATTTCCTAAACTTAGACAAAACATCTCATCTTTCTAATAGAAAGAAAAGCAAGACAACAAAGACATAACTAAGAAAGCATCTCTTACAAGAGGTTGTGTGTATCAGGGGTATTGGAAAGATACCAAACATGCCAAGCAACTAAACCAAATAGAAATAATAAACCCAGCAGGTAAGAAACAGTTCAAGGTCTCCCTTTAAAAAATCAAAAGAAAAGGAAGCTAATGATGCCAATGCAATAGGTTCCCTTTATTACCTTCTTCCCCTTTCCGTAATCAGGTAAGAATCTCTTTTGGACACTTGTCCACAACTGGTTTTATACTAAGTCTACCTATGTTAATTGTTTAGAAGGAAATATAATTTACAAAAACAATGCCACTCATTATTTACAGGGACGGAACAATGGCTTGTAGCAACTGCACAGTGAAATAGTCCATAGTCCTTATCCCCAGCACTGCATGGTGGGCTGATTCTTCTAAGAGCTCATTACATCTTTCTTGATGAGATGAATCACACGCTCTCCACAGACTAGCTGGCCTCTATATTCACAGCAACACTGACTTAATAAGGAAGACCAAAGAGGTGGCAAAGATGATTAAAGTATTCACACCGATTGAAATACTCTCCTGCAGGATAAAATATTAACCACGTTTACTCTCAAATGAAAATACAGCCTCTAGCAAGAAACTTTCCACACCAAGTGTGAGCAAAATGTTCCCTAAAACAGTTGGAAAAGGTAGTCAGCCACAAAACACTGGACACAAAGGTGAGTATGTCAAATAACTTTGAAAAAAGCCACAGCTCCCTTACCCTCTCCATCTCACTTCCGAATAAAAGCGTGAAAATTTTTCAGAAATCCAGAAGCCCATGGGACCCCTGGACTCTTCAGGCTCTCAGGCAATAGAGTATCATCATCATCTGTACACCCTGCCCACTAAGCCTAATAGTGGAATGAGATTATGACCACTATTTCAACAAGGAAGACTCCACCTCTCGTTTGTGGTTTTGAACCAAAGGAGAGAGTCTGACCTGATGGTGCTCTAACGTATCAGAATACAACTTTCCTGCTTAGAAACAAGAGATTTTAATTGATTGATAACATTATTCTAAAATAATTTACTCTATTCATTTAACTTGGAGGAATATAAACCACTTAACTATGAAGATGAGTTATTTTGTTAACTGTTTTTAACCACTAGAGATCACTAAATCAGAGGGCTATGAATGCACAACTAATTTATTTCCACAATTTTACACAGAAAACCTGAACCACGACACACTCATAAGAATTTATAACATCTTGAAGCATGACAGCATAGGTAAGCTCTCATGGGCTTCACAGAAATAAAGAAATTGAATGCTTTGTACCTAAGCAGCAAGTATGCTTTCCTTCCATCTGAATACTGAAAAGATGAGAAGGCTTTTTATAACTGAAAATAAAATACCATTTAATCATATTTATATATGAGCTCTCAGACTAAAATACAAACAGCATAAAACGCAGACAGCAAGATTAGTATTTGAAGAGTAAAGCCAAAGAAAATTCAAAAGACTAATTCATTACACATTACTATTCAAGTATATTGTATGCAAATATCACTTCATCTAGAAATATATATGTAGATCAAGGCTTTTCCTAAGGGAAAATATGGGCATCTGGCTACATTAAATAATGCTCCATGTAAGCAAAAAGATGGATGAATATTTAACAATTTTTAAGATAAATATTATAATGTGAAAAAAAGAGAAAGAGCATGAATGTCCAAAATTGACAGAAGACAGAATACAACCTACAATGAAATGTTTTACACTCATTAAAATAGTTACGATAAAATTCACACCAGGGAAAATTCCTATTGTATGAAAAATAATGTTGAAATAATCATATACAAATACATGAACACAGCATGACTCCAACATGTGTGTGTGTGAATACTGGTTGTTGCTGGGTTCTGGAGTTATGAATAATTTTATTTTGTTCTATTCTATGAGTTTGCCAAATTTTCTACAATGATAGAAGCATGTTATTTAAAACAACGTCAGGCTGGATATGGTGGCTCATGTCTGTAATTCCAGCCTTTGGGAGGCTGAGATGGGAGGATCACCCAAGTCCAAAAGTTTGAGACCAGCCTGGGCAACATAGCAAGACCCCATCTCTACAAAAAATTAAACAATCAGCCAGGTGTGATGGCTAGTGCCTGTAGACCCAGCTACTCGGGAGGCTGAGGCAGGAGAATGCTTGAACCTGGGAGACAGAAGTTGCAGTGAGCTGAGACTGTGCCACTGCTCTCCAGCCTGGGTGACAAAGCAAGACCATGTCTCTAAATAAATAAATAAATAAATAAAAATTTAAAAATGAAACTGCGTCAACAAGGTGGATGTTGTTAATTGGCAATGAGGGTCTCAGTGCTCTCCTAACGTGTTTCTGTGCTGCAGAGGTTTTAAGGCTAATGCTCTATTTCCCAGGCTCTTCTGCAGATAAGGGTCTAGATACAAACTGGACTCCACCCACTCAGATTCAGTAGCATGAGATTTTAATAGTGGTGTGAAACAGATTTTTCCTGGACTGTTATGACTGGCAGCACTTCTAGGGTGGGTCTCCAGCTTGACAAATGACAGAAGCAAGGTGAGTACACCTGGAGGCAGGGCGGTGTGTAGTGTGTAGAAGGCAGGCTCCGATGGGAGTAGTTCAGGTCCCTGGACTGCAGCACCTCTTTCACCACGAAAGCAGAGAGGGTAGCTCCGCAGGCAAGCCACATGTTTGTTACTGCATAGCTTTAAAGGTTCTCCAGGACCATCCTAGGATCTGCTCTGCAAACCCTTCCAGTGATTTTGTGAGAAAAAAAATTCTAAGTGATAAATCCCTTTTGTTCAAAAATGTTTTATGATACAAACACGTTCTGTCTGCTGCAACTGAAATGGACTCACACATCCAAGATGTTGAATAACTTGAAAAGAAACTTCAGTATGCTTCAAACAGTTGAAAACCTAGTTAAAAAATTTCTTTTAACTGCCAACTTGACTTGTTTGCACATCTGTGAATATCCAGGTAAATTAAATTAGGTCTATTCTAAAAGAAAATTAACTGACACGAGACCCACTGATAAACTGGATTCTGGTTCTTTGGATAGTCTACTGCAAGATAAAGTCCTCAAAAATTTCAAGCTAATCTTAATGAAAAGATCTTCCAATGTGGCTCCTCAACACAGCTATAAAAACAAAGTATTTCAGGAGACTAAGCCTAAAAGTTAAGCTCATAATTCAAAAAAATCAGAAACTAAATATACTTTTTTTCCAAGTAGACTCTTCTCGGTTTAAACCTGTGTTTTCCATGCACTTTTTTTTCCACTTGAACTACTACAGAAAGGAGTGTGCTGAAATGCAAAACAAAGTTGAAATATTTAAAACAGGTATTTTTATACCTATGCAAAGAATAAATCAAGCAAATATCAAGCTACATCCTTTTTAATCTTATGTGATTAGTATTACTTCAACATTCCTCAATATATACTGTGCTAAATTACTGGCTGCACTGAAAAAATGTTTACTAATTCATTCAACATAAGTTTACTAAGCATCTACAGATTCAAAAGTGAAAATGACAGATTCAGCAAAATGCACATTAAATAAGAGGTGAGAAGTGTGATGAAAAGGAACAATAAGGGTTCTGACAAAGAGCATCAACATGCTTTTTGTTGTTGTTGAGATGGAGTCTCACTCTGTTGCCCAGCCTAGAGTGCAGCGGCGCAACCTCGGCTCACTGCAACCTCCGCCTCCTGGGTTCAAGCAATTATTGTGCCTCAGCATCCTGAGTAGTTGGGATTACAGGTGCATGCCAGCACACCTGGTTAATTTTTGTATTTTTAGTAGAGATGGGGTTTTGCCATGTTAACCAGGCCAGGGTGGCCTTGAACTCCTGGCCAGGAGTTCCACCCACCCTGGCCTCCCAAAGCGCTGAGATTATAGGTGGGAGCCACCATGCCCGGCCAACAAATTTTTTAAAACAGACAAAACAGGTTAAAATAAAGTTTTTTCATTCAGATTAAATAAATTAGGTCAAGGACTAAAATAAATTAGGTCAAGGAATAAAATATTATGAAGACTAGACAACAAACTTCCATTTACAAGGAGACTTAGGATAAAATGATCAACTGGGTAGTCAAACTAAATTACCATGAAGTCCACTTTCATCCTTAAAAGTTCATAAAGTTCTAAGTTCCTTAATGTACCTCATGAACCAATATAAATATTTGCTTATACATGTGTCAAATATCCCTGTAAGAACATAGAAAAAGCAAATAAAGAGGCTGCCTGTGAGGAGAAATGGGAGAGGAGACCAGGAGAGACAGCAAGAAAGGGACTTTATATGGTACACATATTGTGTCAAATTGTTTTCATTTTTAATGATATGAAATGGAATCTATTCAAAAAATGGATATATTAATAAGTGCATACGATACATGGCACTGATTTTCATCAGAAATTTCAAGTGTGATATAAACTAGGAGACTATCTGAACTTTGATATGCAAGTTGGTACCATGCTCACAAAAGGCCATCGTGAAGATGCCCTGGAAACCAATAGTTTACCCAAGACACAACACTCATCATGGACACCAAGAAGTCAGGAGGGGCAAGGGATGGCAGCAAACAAGCAGAGGTGGTTACCTTCCTGTCGCAGGTTTTAGGACTCCCAGCAGTGTTCTGCTTTAGGAAGCCAGCTGTTGTTGACCAGCGTGTGGGATTTTTCCTTGAAGGCTCTTCAGAGGAAAAATTATGATCACTGACAGAAGAGGAGATGCCAATTAGAGCTGGGTCACTACTGCGTCGAACATGAAGAGGCATATCTGTAAACACAAAAGCACTACACTGAAAAATAAGATACTAATGTTGGTAAACTACATGTTAGGAGAACGCAGGGAAATACTAAAGATTAAGGAACAGAATTTCACTTTCGTAAAAGGGGACAATGGGTCAGTATTCTAAATACAAATTCCTTTAGGTCCTTTAAAATACCACATGGTGAAAGAGACGCGGTCAAGTGTCAGCTCTGAGCAAAACTGCCCAAGTTTGTATTTGGACTTCACTCCTTGTTATCTACGTGGCCCTGGCCAGGGTGCCTAACTGTTCTCTGCCTCTAGTTCCTTCCAACTCAAATGAAAATAAAACAGTACATCTTTGATCAGGGTAATGTGAGGACTAAATAATATAAAGGGGTAAAACAGTGCTTGACATATAGTGTGTACTCAGTAGAGAGTAATATAATAACCAATACTGTGATCATTGCCCCATATTTCTAAATAATCATCACATATATCATTTAAAAAATAATGATTCTAAGCAAGCAAACAAATTTCACCTACCTTTTAATCATATCTACTGGAATAAAAATACAGAATCTACATAGTTGACAAATAACTTATTGTATATTTCAAAGTAGCTAGAAGAGAGGATCTGAAATGTTTCCAACACAAAAAATGATAAATCATTGAGGTGTGAATATCCTAATTACCTTGATTTGACCATTACACCTGGTATGCATGTACCAAAACATCACATATTCTCCATAAATATGTAAAATTATGTATCAATTTTTAAAAATCTATAGAATCTAGACATTTGGCTGCTCTACTGAAAAATTTTGTTGAATAAAATGTTTCTTTTGTTCAATAAAGTATTATCAGAAAATATATTATTTCTACTTAAGAAAGAAAATACTCGGCCGGGCGCGGTGGCTCAAGCCTGTAATCCCAGCACTTTGGGAGGCCAAGACGGGCGGATCACGAGGTCAGGAGATCAAGACCATCCTGGCTAACATGATGAAACCCCGTCTCTACTAAAAAAAATACAAAAAACTAGCCGGGCGAGGTGGCGGGCGCCTGTAGTCCCAGCTACTCGGGAGGCTGAGGCAGGAGAATGGCGTAAACCCGGGAGGTGGAGCTTGCAGTGAGCTGAGATCCGGCCACTGCACTCCAGCCCGGGCGACAGAGCGAGACTCCGTCTCAAAAAAAAAAAAAAAAAAAAAAAAAAAACCAAAAAAAATACGTTAATCCGCAGATAGTTTCTGTCATATACTCACATATACGATTACACGAAAGGTAGTATTTTAGCAAATGTATTTGCACAGAAGAGCTTGCTTGCAATTGCTGTAACAACATCACTACTAAACTCAGGTGAACACTTGATCATTATCAGTAACACTGACAACAGCCTGGCAAAGATGATCACCGTCACAGCAAAAAAGAAACAGAATTAAAAATGCAAAGCGAAGAAGAAAAGAGTCTGCAACAGCTGGAATCAGAACTAAAAGTTCCACTCAGCAACTGAGTGAAATCGCTCAAAAACATAAGACAAAATTTAAATTATGTTTAGAGTACTCTGTTTTTAAAAACTAGGATGTATTTGTTTTAAAGCCTCTAATAATACAGCTTTATTGATAGATAGATAGATTGATTGATTGATTGATTGATTGAGACAGAGTCTGGCTCTGTCACCCAGGCTGGAATGCAGTGGCACGATCTCGGCTCACAGCAACCTCCACCTCCTGGGTTCAAGCAATTCTCCTGCCTCAGCCTCCTGAGTAGCTACAGGCTACTACAAGTATGCACCACCATGACAAGCTAGTTTTCGTGTTTTTAGTAGAGACAGGGTTTCACCATGTTAGCCAGGCTGGTCTTGAACTCCTGACCTCAGGTTACCCACCCTCCTCAGCCCCAAAAAGTACTAGGATTACAGGTGTGAGCCACCACGTCTGGTCTAATGACATAGCTTTAACCATGAAGCAGTAAACTCATCATTTATTCTAGGAGGGATATTTCTGAAACATTGGTGCACTGGTCAATGGTAAAGATATGGAAACCTTGAGGATACCAAACTAAAGACAGGCTATTTATATACAGTGAAGGCTATATTTAAACCACTGTCAATCCAATGGTCTCCAATGAAAGCAAATTAGAACTTATCAGAGCAAACAGAAGCATATGAAACATAATAATATCAAATTTAACACTGACTTCTACATCAGGAGGATTCGATAATAATAACACAGTCTGAGCAACATTACCAGAGCAAAAATTTAGTCAACTCCGAATTTAATACTGTTGGTGGCTATCTTAATTTGCTGAGAGAAACATAAACATGAGGATTTTAATAATTTCTAGATTTTAGTGTGTATAAACACTCATGACAGCCTTTACTGTTATTAATATACACCCCCAAAAATAAACACCAATAAGAACTATATAGTCACTCTCAGAACAAGGTCGCAAAAATACACATCTAAAAATCGATGTGCATTAATATTACAATGCCCTTACTATAAGAAAAGTTCTCTACCAAGAGGAAGCAAAATTTCCAGAATCATCACATTAAAAACTATAAGCAAAACAGCAACAAAATGGGGAGGGATGGGCAGGAAAAGACCAAATACTTTTAGACAATGTTGTTACTTAGACACAGGTTCTGTTGCTTTCCAATTACAGGGTTAATTATTCAGTTGTTAAGTACCTCTGTACACCTCAACTTCTCTCCCTCTTCCTGTCACCCATCTGTGTGTAAGTCTACGAGAAGCACTATTAACTCAGAAGAGAAGGCCTTTAAAAAATAGCACAGACATAGGACCAAAAGCAGTACCCAATATCTACAGTAAAATAATCAAATAAAAGTATATTCCAACCCCCCAGTAAATTCAGGGACGATATACTGGACTTGCTTGGTCACAATAAAACTGCTCACCCTACTGCGTTTGAAATTTTCCTCAGGAGAATACATTGCATACATGATTTCAATTAAATAATTAAGACCATCTTCTTCAGACTAGACACAAACACTGTGTTAATGTGTTAGTCTGCAACAGACAGACAAAAAATAATTAGTATTTATCTCTATATACCTGTAGCTTTTGAAATAAAATGTGGACTAGGGGAAAGAGGGGATTTGAGAAGAGGCAGATAACAGAGGGAGCTCCAGACCCTGTGGGATGTCTCTTATAGTGGGTGATGGAGCTCATGGATAGGGTGGTGTTCACATAAACTGCATTGTGAAGGATGCTACAGGGAATGCTCTGTCATGCAGCCCTTCTTGTGAGTTGTTCCAACATTAAACTTTTTGTTTGCATTTCAGTGATGTTGATAAAATAAATTAAATTAAATTAAATATAGTCTGGATCTCCTATTTGCACTACCTTGTCACCGAGTGCTCCCATGCAATTTCAGGCACCATGTTTACATTTGTGTCCACTGTCAAATTCAGGAAGGTGTCCTAGATTTGATTACCACACTGATGAGAAAGAACAAAACCCAATAAAAGAAGTCAATAAGGCCAGGTGCAATGGCTCACACCTATAATCCCAGCAGTTTGGGAGGCCAAGGTGGGAGAATTGCTTGAGGTCAGGAGTTCAAGACCAACTTGGGCAACACAGTGAGATCCTGTCTCTACAAAAAATAAAATTAAAAAATCAGGCAACTGTAATAGAACTTTGCTGTAGTCCTAGGGCAGGAAGCAGGACTTGACTGCAGAGGCAGGGCTTGGACACCAGACCAAACTGCGGACTAGCTAAAACAGGGCTGGGACAGAAAAAGTTTTCAATCAAACACACTCACCAGCTCTCATGTCAGTTTACTATTGCCATGGCAACACCTAGGTGTTACCTACCGTTTGCATGGTAACAACCTAATGTCCAAGTTACTACTCCTTTCCTAAAAATTTCTGTATAAACTTCCCTTTAATCTGCATGTAATTAAAAGTGAGTATAAATATGATTGGAAAACTGTCCTGGGCTGCCACTCTCTGCCCATAGAGTACCCCAAGCTCTGCAGAAGCAATCACAGAGCTGCGGCACTGTTGCTTCAATAAAGCTGTTTTTTTCTAGCCCCAGCTTGCCCTTGAATTCTTTCCTGGGCAAAGACAAGGACCTTTATGGGCTAAGGCCCACTGTAGGGCTCACATGTCCTGCATCAGTCTCAGCTACTCAGGAGTCTTAGGTGGGAAGACCACTTGAGCCCAGGAGTTCAAGGCTGCAGTGAGCCATGATTGTACTACTGCACTCCAACCTGGGCAACAGAGCAAGGCCCTGTCAGTCAGTCAGTCACTCAACAGCACGTTCTCATAAAAGGATGGCCAAACGACATCATAATGATGTTGAAGTCAAGGTTTTCTTATGGTTGGAAGCGCTGTAAGACCTGAGTCATCATAGTACATAAAGGCACCATAACCAAGGTCCAAATAAAAAGACCCCATGCCACCCTGGGGCAGGTCTAGGTTCATACAGCATACAGTTTAGACTCAGCAAGGCATCTTTATCTCTCACAGTGATGTGTATCTATCTGATGGATATCTGTTACACATCTGGATGTGTACTGGTTTATGATTTCTTCTTGGTTTTATGATTGTATGAAAATTATAAGGCATTTTTATGGAGTTTTCACACACACATACACACGCATGCACATACAGTGTAGTAACATTGTACTAGAACCCACCACTTAAATGGAGGGATCTGAAATTTTTTTATTTAAATAAGGCACTACATTAGACACATGGAAAAACATGTAATGCACATCACAGATGAGTAAGCTGAGGCTTAGAGAGATGACATGAAAAGTTAGTTTTCCAGCCAAGACTTCAGGCTCCTGAGCCAGTGCTCAATCACCAATCACAAATTACGAAATCAGATCTATTAAGTTCCATTTCTAGCTACCTGAGGATATAAATGTTAGTTTCAGTTTTTTAAAAGAGAAGAATTTTGGGCCGGGCACGGTGGCTCACGCCTGTAATCCCAGCACTTTGGGAGGCCGAGGTGGGCGGATCACGAAGGCAGGAGATCGCGACCACGGTGAAACACCCTTCA